CTCGGATATCTCAACGGAGCTGTCCTTGCTTGCAGCCATCACCTTCTCATCGCCTTCACCTAGTGACTGGCCTTGATTCTCATCCTCTTCAGTGCCCAGTTCTCCCTCAAGTGTGTCCTCATCATTCCAGCCACCACTGCTGTTCTCCAAATCGTCGGCATCAGTCAGCATCTGAGCATCAAGCTTGAGCTCAAACAAGTTGAGATTTGCTCTGGCAACTGGGGACTCGGTCCGCTTGCTTGACACTGTCTGCTGCTGAGCAACTTCCAATTTGCTCTGTCGAAAGTCAAACACTGGCTCCATGTCGAGAAAAAGATTGTCAATTTCCTTGTGTTCGACTTGCTTGAAATCAATCTCCTTGATGTCAAATGTCTGCATCTTTTTGGTCAGGGCTGCTATAGCCTTGCTGCTCTCAGGCTTAACAGTTGGCAAACGCTTGTCAGCAGTGTTGGTGGGGGTAACTGGACCAGTGTCGCCACTGATGGATTGGTTCGCCTCTGAGCTCTCCAGACTCTCGACAGCAGTCTCAAAGCCATTTGATGAGGAGGAGTGGCCGTTGTCCCACTCTGGCCACTCTTCGTCGTCTTCAATCAAGTTGATATTGTTTGAAGAGGCTCTCAGGAGAGCTTTTGAAGAGGCGGCTGCACTGCCGACGTGCTCGCCAGAGGCTGGCAATAGTCCATCAGTGGCCATTAGTGACGAGTGGAGGAGGTGGCCGGCACTGTCAATCTCATCACCGTCCGGCGAGCTTCGCTCAGAGATCATGTGAGCGGGCATTTTGTAGCCGAGAAAGTTGAGCGAACTGCTCGCCACTGAGGAGGTCGATTTGGCGCTGATGGTGGAGAGGTTGTCCCTGTTGTCCTCACTGTCGTGCTGACTGGTGGCGTCCGAAGAGGACAGGCGCACATCGGATCGCGGAACACCAGAGTTGAAGATGCGAGGACGCTTAGAGCCGCCGAGAACGGTGACGACGCCAAAGTTGTCGACGAGTACGGCCAGCGAGCGGAAGGTAAGTGAGACTAGCTCATTGTCGGAGTCTTTGATGCCCAGCAGAATCTGCGGCAAAATGATCTTTCGCAGGCATGTCTTTGCAATCAGCGGTCCGTAGTGGGGAAGGTAGAGCAGAAGGAGCATGCGAATCTTGTAATCGTGGACACAGTACAGGTTCGACAGGTGTGGAATGATGTACTCGCGGTAGATGGAGGTGGAGATGATTGGACTCAGTGTGACCACCTGACCATTGGTCAGCGTGAAGGCCTGCTCTTGAGCGTAGTGCCGTCGAACCGGTTCACACTGCCCACTTTCGTCATTACCATTTGGCGCTTCCTCCATTTGCCCTTCTTCAGCTAGCGAACCATTATTGAGGGCTGGTTGGCCTTTCTGTTCATATTTGGACGGTATTAAAAAGTAAGGCATCACTTGGTTGTAGATAAACTTGCTGGACATGATGACCCTTGAGCTGACAATCATGGTGAAAATGTTGACAATCAAATGTTGGTCTGGCAGCATTCGCAGACGCTCGATGAATGTCTCGAAAAAGTGGCACTTTTCGTAGTCATTATGCGTGCCAAAGTTGATGAAGAACTGGCGAATTTGGAGAAAGATGCAGTTGACAAAGAGTTTGTTGTTGAGCAGTTCAGCAACGGTCGGTCGCTGGTCGGCTGGAATGGGGGAAAAGTTGTCGACGAAAGACTTGATTGTCATGGAGAGACTAGAAACTTCACACTCAGAGGCGAGTATCATATCGGCCAACTTTGGCGGATTCTTTGGGTCGTACAGCAGCTCATTGATTAGACTGACGAATGCGTAGGCGTCACGTCGGTGGACAAGCTTTGAGGAGCGAATCAGTAAATGTGTGGACACCTCTCGATCTTCCGGCGGCAGCGTCTTGATGGTTCCATGGGAGGTGTGAAAGCCAATCAGCTGGCGGAAGAACTCCTCCGAGTCAGTGTCCAGAGAGCTGTACCAGTAGAGTGAGCCCAGCTTCCAGCACTCGTTGCAGTCGTTGCGCGAGACAAAGACCGAGTCAATGGACAGGTTGTTGACCGAGATGCCGCAAATTTGATGCAGAAAAGAGAGCGCCTCGCCGATGTTGAACAGCCCACTCAGCTTGACGTACTGGTGCATCTCCTCCAGCAGCAGTCGCACCGGGCTGATTGGCTCCGTGAGAATGCACTTTTTGCCCTTGCACAAGCCGGCTTCGTAGCATTTGACCAGATTTGGGTGACGAATGTGCTTCCACCGCTGTCNAACAGCCCACTCAGCTTGACGTACTGGTGCATCTCCTCCAGCAGCAGTCGCACCGGGCTGATTGGCTCCGTGAGAATGCACTTTTTGCCCTTGCACAAGCCGGCTTCGTAGCATTTGACCAGATTTGGGTGACGAATGTGCTTCCACCGCTGTCGGAGAAGAGAGAAAAGGGCACATGTTCTTAACTCGGTGTAGAATTACGCTCACCCACCCCAAGTTCTTACCGTGATATCATTAAAGTAGCGATCATCGCTAAAGATGAACAGACTGTACTGCTGACTGGCGTAGGAGGCGTCATAGAGCGACCATTCGGTGGTACTGTGTCGTGGCTTTGGAGCCACGGTGCACTTCTTTATCAGACTGGCCTCGTTGCCCATGATGCCAGGCGGGGATGACTGCGGCCACCAGGCGACAGGTCGATGAGGTGGTAAGCTTTTTTGTCGCAACCCAAATCAGTCTTCAGGGGGCCATGGTGACTAGCAGAGAACTTCTTTTAGAGCTTCAGACACACACAAAAAGTCAAAACAAAACACAGACGATGGACACAAATCCCACTTTTACTTTGCTTTGCTTTCCTCAGCTGCTGCTGCAACACAAACAAACTCGCGCCTGCGCACAAGAGTTTGGTGCCGGAGATTTATTTGATTTAGTGAGATTGGCTTTTTGTGAGATATAGAAATAGTGTGAGAGAAAAAGAACGGTAAAAGCTTCAGGTAAATCAATCAAGAGCCAGTCTTTTTCCTACGTGTACAGCTGCAGGTACATTTGCTGCGCCTTCGACTCTAGGTCGTACAGCTGCTTCACCTCGCTGGCCATCTCCGCGACGTGGTCCTTGTAGGTGTAGGCGGCGCCGGTGGCCTTGGCGCCGTACACCACCTTTCCGTCAAACTGGTTCACCTCCAGCTTGTACTCGGTGTCCACCTCGCCAATGACGCAGTTCAGGTGCTCCTCAATGTCCGCCAGCAGTTGCAGTTCATTGTACCAGATGCAGCAGCCGCCCTGGTCGACGAGGCGCGTGTTGGCGCAGCCCTTGCCGCGCGACTTGCAGTTTGCGTGGAACCACACCTTTTCGGGGACGTTCGAGACGAAGCTGATGGCCAGGCCCATGCGCTCCGCCCGACCGACGCGGCCGATTCGGTGGAGGTAGTTGGCCTTGTCGTCGGGCAGTGTCACCTGGAGGAGAAAGGGCACGCCGGTAATGTCGATGCCGCGAGCGGCCACGTCAGTGCAGATGAGAAAGTTGCACTGCTTCGTCTTGAACTGCTCCAGATTGGAGGTGCGCTCCTGCGCCGACCGGTCGCCGTGCAGACACACGCAAGAGTAGTCCTTGTTGCGCGCCTTGCTCAGGTGGTTAAAGTACGCCTCTAGATTATCACAGTCCACCTTGGTTCGGCAAAAGATGATGGCATTGTCAATCGCCAGCTTGTCGATGGCCTTGACCACGTATTCGCCTTGGAATAGTGCTTTAGTAAAGATTATTTTGTCTGAGAAAAAACACATACCTTTGAGGAGTTTTATTGCTTCACTGAGACCCTCCGCATTGGGATCCTCAACATTCCAGCGGTCCTTTTCGTGAACTCCATCGGTGGTGATGCGCGTCTGCAGACTCCTCCAGGAGGTGTCCTTGCGAGGGTCCACCCTCACTACGACGTGGTGCACCGTGTCCGGCACCGAGTCCTCGCCCTTTAGGTCGACCCAGGTGGGAAAGAACATGACCTTCTCGGCAAACTTCTTCACCTCAAAGTTGTGCAGCGTCGCCGAGCAGACAATCATCTGCAGTCGCTTTCCGTCGGCAAACATGCGCGGTATCTTGGCGTGCAGTGCCAGCAGCATCGAACTGCTGCCCTGCGCCAGGAAGGCGTCCACCTCGTCAATGACAAAGAAGCGACAGGAGCGCAGCGACAGGTGGNTTCTTCACCTCAAAGTTGTGCAGCGTCGCCGAGCAGACAATCATCTGCAGGCGCTTTCCGTCGGCAAACATGCGCGGTATCTTGGCGTGCAGCGCCAGCAGCATCGAACTGCTGCCCTGCGCCAGGAAGGCGTCCACCTCGTCGATGACAAAGAAGCGACAGGAGCGCAGCGACAGGTGGCCCGAGTTGACTAGCTCATTGACGCGGCCAATGGTGCCCGTCACAATGTCCACGCCCGCCTGCAGCTGCCCAATGTGCTCCTTGACGCTGGTGCCACCCACCGCCAGGCACTGCCGAATTTCGCCGCTCAGGTGCCTCTTAAAGCCTTCAATGCAGCGGTGCGTCTGCTCGGCCAACTCACGACTTGGCTCGAGGATGACAGCTTTGGGTGCGTTGTCGTTGCCAGCTGTCTGCTGTTGGTTGCCCGCCGATAGTGAGTTGACCACAAACTGATCAGAGGCTAGTTGGCCCACCCACTGGCAGCCAGCCGGGGCGGCCTGGTTTGCGTCGTTGAACTTAACCGACAGTCCGGCGTTTTTGATGCACACACAGGGAAAAAAGAGGTTCTGATCGGCTAGAGGGCGAGGCAGTTGAAATGCAGCCCCCAGATGGTTGCCGTTTTTGGTGAAGGAGATTTCTGCCGCGTCGAGATCAATGATACAGCCGACTACGTCGAATTTGTCGCCAAACTTGTCGCCATAATCGTCAAAGTTTTTAGAGTTGCTCTTTTTTGCCGTCCCACCGTAGCCCCAACTGAAGCGGTCGGTGCCCAGGTCAAGGGAGCCGTTTTCCAGCGCCCAGCCCACGCGAGCAAGACCGGGCGC